ATTCAACATTTAGTGAATCAAAACCTCCGGGTCTGGCATTGTAGATCAGGGATGACGACAATGTGTCTCCTTGTATAAGGATGAGAATATTTATCATTGTACTTTGGGCAAGTCAACCTAACATTTCTGTTTAATTTCCTCACCTGTAAAATGAGAGTAATAATAGTACCTACCTTATAGGATTGTTGTGAGGTGAGTTAACATTTAAGCACCTGGAATAGAGATGGGCACTTTGTAAATGTTAGTTGTCATTATTATTGAAAATTAATAATTTTCTGCCTCAGATAAACATTCCTCTAGAACCTGGGTATCTGAAATGAAATAAAGTCAGAAATATGAGGATTTATGAATTGTGAAAAGGGCTATGAGAGTGTGCCACACTTCTCAGATATCAGTACTCTGAAGTCATGGTTCTTAGTTTTCTGAGGTACTGAGTCAAATGGAAAGCTGGATGGAAAGATTCTCAGCAGGGGATGAAAGCATGTGTTTTTTTTAATTATTTTTTTTATTTTTATTTTTTTTTAGGGTTCTGCTCGGTGGCTAGTCACAGCTAACTAAAATCTGTAACCATACCTACCCAGACAGTGGTTTCTGTAAATAATCGCTAAGCTGACAGGGGTGTGAGAGTTCTTTAAAATATCCAAGTTTCATGGGAAATGGTAGCAATTCAAGACCTGGATCCAAGTTTAATTCGTGTCTCAAGGAGATGATGAGGGTAATGATAACAATCAACCACTAGTTTTTAAGAAATGAAATATTTTTATTCAAATACATAGAACGCTGTTATTATAACTTCCTTTCTTTTCTTTCCATCCCTCCCTGCCTGGATGTTTTCCCTTCCCCTTTCCTCTCTCTGTCTTTGCCACAAAAACTATACGTTCCTCTCCTCAGAAGCACTTTTAGCAGTTGGCAGATTCTTCAATTCCCTTTTCTGTATATTTACACACAGATGCATTAGAAATTGTTTTGTAGGTAGATTTAAAATTATTTTATATAAACAGGGTATTTTGAGTTGCTGCCTACATTATTTCTTCTCACTTAAAATGTCTTTTCTCTCCATTCCAATACATATAGATCCATCTCTTTCTTTTGAATTGCTGCTTATTACAGCATTATATGGGTGCACCATAGTTTTATTTATCCACTGACCGCTTGTTGGAATTTGGGTTGCTTTCCATTTTCTGCTCTTACAAACAATCCTCCCATAGCCCTCTTTGGGCACATGCAGTTTCTGTGCCATAAAGTACATTTAAAAATAACTTGCCAAAACTGGATTTAGGTTTAAATTACAGAATACATTTTCATTCCACTCTAAAAGTTTCTAGTCCCTATGGGCTTTGTTTGATTTTTTTGGATAGCCACATTTTATTGCTGGTTGAAATTTCATATCTTTTCAACAAAAATTGGCCAGATAATGGTGATCGCCACAAAAAAGGTGAAATGTTCATCTCAGTAAGACATTCCCTACTTAAGAGTCATCTACAAGTGTCATAGTGAGAGTGGCAACCAAAACATTTCTTGAAATCTTCAGGATTGCAGAGGTAATCGCCTTCAGCTGTGTAGCCTGGCAACAGTTTGTACCATTACAAAATCTCTTCCGTAAACACCAGTCCCTTCGTTTTTGGTTAAATTGTATGAGTACAGTTTGCTGGCAAGTCTTCAGTGGGATGCCCGTCTCCACAAGGTGCTCATCACCGGTATTTGTGGTTAGCATTCGGCACAGCCTGTACACTTCACTATCTCTGTTTAATAAAAACACTTGTTTTCAAAAGCATGAGTCCCAGATCTGTTGAGTCTGATGTGATGTTATCTTTCAACTGCACAAGCTCTACCACGAGCATTTGGAACGTTTGTTATCTGACACAGATCTGTCGGGACCTCTTCTACTGTCAACCACCACAAACCAATAAGCTAAGGTTAATTCAAAGATTGACTATTTAGTGACTAGATACTCTGAGATAGTGCTATTAAAAATCGCTACTCCGTGAACTGTTTTTTACTGGTCCAGAATGAAATAAGATGTTTGTTCCAGAATGTAAATCAGCACAATTTTTCATTCACCGGGAAAGTCTTGCTGTGAAAAAAATGTTGACTGAACTAAACAGTGCTTTGAGATATAGTTGATTTGCATTCTGGTGCAAGCTCTTTAATGTGTACATTTGTTTGTGAACCACATTTGAGTAGCACCATCTAAGGTGCTTTATGAAGTTGAATAAATGAAAGAAAGATGTACCTACAATGGATTACTAGAAAATGGCTTTTCAGGGTGGAGGTGGCAGAATGCAGAGAAGGATGGTGAATAAATTATTCTCTTTCAGTGGGGGAATGTTCCTTCCCTGCTTTTGAGCTGCCACAAGGAGAGATGGTTATTTAAGGCCCAAATAGCCTACTGGGCTACTGTCATTCCCTATCTAACTCATTTCCCCATCTTACTTTTTGCCCTTCTTCCTGTTAACTCTGGCATGGGATTTAAAGAAAGGAAAGCAATATATGGAAGGCTCATTGTATGGTCTATGTTTTACACACAATTAAATACAATTCTCACAAGTGGGTGAGGAAGTATTATTGTCCACTTTGTAAATGCTCAGAGGTTCAGTTAACTTGACCCAGGTCTCATCTATATATATAAAAGCCTAAGCGACCAAATGACCAGTTGACCGATCTGGTTGCTATGACGCACACTGACCACCAGGGGGCAGATGGTCAATGCAGGAGCTGCAGTGGGAGTGCCACTGAGCTGACCCACGGGTGCCAGATGTCAGGCTCACAGCTGGTGAGTGCAGCTGTGGCAGAGTGAGCCTCTCCTGCCTCCGCGACAGAGCTACTGAGCAGCAAGGGGAGCCGGCAGGCGCAGCAGGGCTGGGATGAGCAGGAGAGGCGTGGTGCCTGGCCTGGGCTTGGGCTCCTCCTCGGCCGCCTGCCACTTCACGCACTCCTACATCCCTCAGGGGATGCCGGACAGCCTGCGGGGACTGGGCTGCAGCCAGCATGCCGACATCCCTCAAGAGGTCCTGGACTGCGAGAGGGCACAGACTGTGTTTAGTCAAGTGGAAGATTTGAGATTGGGGCCTCGATCTCTGGGTAGTTTGTTCTTTTATTGTCACATCCAAGGAGGGAGCTAACAGAATCCAGGACCCAGGATAGAACTTTAAAAATGCACACTGACACACTAATGTTCCATTTTGGAACTTTGAGGCTCGGTTAGTTTCATAGTCTGCCTTCTCTAATTGACACAGTCCTGATAATTTTCCACTTCTCTGTATTTGTGTTACATACTTGTATATCCCTGTAGGTTATGAATGCCTCATCTCATCATCTTTGTATCCCACACAATAGTGTATGGGGCTTTGAAAGCATTACACGTAATAGGTTAGCACATTAATTATATTAGTCTGTAAACTTCTTTATGTGCCTAAGATAAATATTAAATAAATGAGACTGAACGAGACTCAAACACTTAAATTTTCAGATGTTGTGGTATGAAATCTACTGACCATGCGTGTCATCCAATAGAGCAGTGCACAGTGAAGAGAACGGCATTAGGAGCCTACATCAGTAAAATTTGGGGGAGGGGTGTCCAGTGACCAGGGGCATGCTAGGACATCCCCACTGAAGTACAAGCCACATTAGCGCATTGCACCTCACTATGAAGGTGTAGCACAGTGCTTAATGCCTATGTTTTAAGGCAGCATATTTCACACCTAAGAATACTGCTCTCTGCTCTACACTGGGTGACATGAAAGGCTGCCAGTTTTGAGTGAGGCCCAGAGCGGGAAAGGGGTCTATGGCAGGTCCAAATTGTAGTAGAAGCAGGCCTGCCACTTGGTCATCTAACCTAGTAAACTCTATGATTTTAGAATTATTGGTGGTGAGGAAAATGTGGAAAAAATTAAGGCAAACTCTTGGATTTTTTTGGTTCATTTTATTGAATAACTAAATGTACAAAAACCACATAGAGCACATTACTAAAGAAAATATTTTCTTTTTCAAATATATAACAGATTCTTCACCCCCCAGTTATTTCTGTAACAATTTTATCTTTTTATTATTAAAACAAAGCGCACATATTTTAATACAGTTCATCTTTTCTCCAATTAAAGACTATGTTATAATTATGATTAACTTTAGCAACCAAAGTCTAAAGATTTAAACTTTATATGGAGAAAAACGCCATGCCAAGTCCTTCATACCTGATTTGGTGCTGAGGTTGAACTTGTATATTGGTTTGTTCCAGAATCCAGAGGCCACTCCAAGACTTAAAACAAAGTAAAAGCCTTAGGCTGACCTTGGTTGCTGGAGGAACCTCTAGATGGGGGATGACTGGTTTTGCTCTGCATAGAACAGCTCTTCCCCAGGCTAAGAACTGTTCTCTGGGAATCGTGAACTGAGGTATATACTGTATTCAGATATTTGTTTGGGGTGGCAGGTGGGGAGGACCTTGTTTATGTCATATTTCTATTGGTAATCACTTCTCCATAAAAATAAAGAGCAAACAGGTAGCTCCAAGTCATTGATGATACCAATATTTTCTCACAGTTCTCTCTCGCTCAGTGATACGAAGACCAATGAAAAAGAACACAAGTAGTAAAAGTGACTGGTAACTGATAGTGGCAGAAGCTGGGACTTGACTTTTGTGAAGGTCTCCCGGGCTTGATTTATTCTAAGCAGCCTGTAGAGAGCTAGAATTTGAACACACTGTTTTGGATCTATCCTTTTACAGTGGGGCCTTGACTTACGAGTGTCCTGACTAACGAGTTTTTTGAGATACCAGCTGTCTCTTGGCAGATTTTTTGCATTGAGTTGATAGAGTAATTTGAGTTAACGAGCTCGATCTCGGAACGAATTAAACTTGTAAGTCAAGGCCCCACTGTACTTTTCTCCACTGTCCACTGACTTTAATTTTTACATTAAAAAATAGGGTGAGGGAACAATATCTCCCTATCTGTCACAGAATCACTATAAAACCTAAAGTCATACCCAAACTTCCCAATGAAATGTCCATTATGAATTCAAAATTAAATAACTAAAATAAATAATGGGTAACTAATGAATTTTTTTTTTTTAAGGTAGCAAAAATATATGACCTCAGTGATTTCTTAGCATAATGCTGATCCGTCAAATGTGGGTCACATCCCATTCAGGGGGAAGGTTTGGAATCCTATATAAAAATATAACATGCATTAAAACAGAGAATTCTTAAATATAATAAAATTCAAGTGACCATATCCTTATTGATATTAATATATCACAAATAAAATTATAATGAACATTTTAGCATAAAATGCAGTTCATTTCTAGTTAACACACTGAAATAATTGACACTCAAAAATTCCAACTACTATCGCATATGATGAAATTCCAGTAAAAAAAAAAGAATGTTCAGAACTGTCAGAGTAACTAGCTATTAGAAAAATCAGATTTATGACCCCTTCTGAAATTTTTAAAGCTACACAGGTTTACACCAAATTACTCATAGTGAGGAAGAACAATGTACTGTATTGAAAACAGACCTTGTCCAGGGGTCTTCTTAACTTGTCTCTGGACAACTTTAAAAGCCTAAAGTTCTGTACCATATGCTGTTCTCAGGGTCAGTACCATGAGATGTCTTGTAAAAAGATCTTTTGGTATTACTGATAACAAAAGCACCTTGGCATGGATCCAAGATTGACATGTGTTATAAATTCTGCTTTACAGTAAGATACATTTAAAGTGTAATTGAACATATTTACCATAAAGAGTGCCTATGTAAACAATGAAAGTATTCCTGAAGTGAAAAGTCTGCTTCTGCTGAAGAAGTGCTCAGTTCCTACCACCACAGCTTCACATGCTGATATGATATCATTTCCTCAGTCCAGAGGAATGTTCTGGATCTTTTCACTTACAACAATGACCTGGCACTAGTCTAGGTATATAAAAACATAATTGTCACAAGTCACACCAAAACATGAGAACTAACACAAATTTCTGCATGTCTTCAAAAACCGTCTTTGGATAACAACTATAATGCTTAATGCTGAAGAGGATCCAAAGAAGCACTCTAAATGATAGACAGTATTTAATGATGGTAAATAAGAATTACTTTCTAAAAATTTTAAGTTAAACATAACGTGAAATTATTTCATGAAATATAGTCTCATTCTATGCTCTCCTGACAATACTCCCAACAAAAAGCTTCCAGTCTATTTGCTGTTTCTTGGTTGATGAGACATTCCTCCTTTAATTCCCTGATTGTCTTCCCCAATGATTTTTGGAAACGTTTTTCTCGGTCTAAAACATTCCGCAGACTTTTCTTGGTATCCTCTAGCTCGCTGATCACATGATCTAATTTATACTTAAGTTTCTTTGGACTGTCCATTACACTGTAGCTATGTTCCTAAAAACATAAATACCAAGTTAGTAAAATGAACAGACAAGTAATTAGCCAAAAACTTATAACTAGGCCTCAGCTGTTTCTCCAGTACTGTGCTTAGAGAAGACCTTTAAGTTGGTGATAGTAAGTTGATGTCAGTAAGTTGGTGAACATAAGAAGGGGATAAGGGAGTAAGCAATATTTCAGGTGCCTAGAACCTCTTTCTTTTGCTGAAGGCCAGACAGACAAGAAGAGAGCAGAATGCTATCGATGGGATGCACTTCTCATTCAAAGTAGGTATCTGCTTATGAACACCCATGAAACCCACAATGACTATAAGGCTTTCATTCCCTAAGTGTGGGGCTTCTAAGTTTAAGTTTTAACAATTAAAAAAACCCTTATATTGTTAAATTTGTAACTGAGTTACTTTAGTTTGATGAACAGTTGACTTTATAAAGGAAGTCAGGAAAGGAGCACTGACTGAAGCAGGCCCTCAGGCTGGGTGTTATGGGTTTAAAGAGGACTCGGGCCTTCGATTTTTAAAGAAATAATTTAAGTTCTCTCAATATTTATTATGACTATACTTATGTTTGCTGGTATACTTCTTTCATTTGAAAATATGAAAGATAACACTGACATTTATAAAGGCACTATAAAACATTTTGAAAAGCTTTTATTTAATATTAAAATTAGTGAAGAGAACTTTTGCTTCCAACCAAAATGAAATAAGAGACTGGAATGACACCTATCTTAAAAGACCAATACAAGGCCCAAGATATAAAGTTTTGACTGATCAATTAAAGTGATAATTGTCTAGTCAGGCTGATCAGCAATAAAAGTGAACAGAAACAAAGGATCAGAAATGAGGTGATATTACTACAGATTTTATAGCTATTAAAAAGATAATAAGGAAGTATTATGAACAATTTTAAGCTAATAGGCAATGACAACTGAGATGAAATGAACAAACCCCTTGGAAAATACAAGCTAGCAAAAGTCTCTTCCACAAAGAAAACTTCAGACCTAGACAGCTTTGCTGGAGAATTCTACCAAATATTTATGGAAAAAATAATTCCAATTCTATACAAATTCTTCCAGAAAATAAAAAACAGAGGCAATATTTTTTAACTCATTGAGTTCAGCATTATTCTGATAATGACAAAAAGATTGTAACAAAAGAATATAACAGGTCAATATCATTCTTGAACATACAAGAAAGTATTCTAAACAAAATCTTAACATTGAACCCAATAATATATGAAAGAAATAATGCATCATTAAGAAGTAGGGTTTATTCCAGGAATGGAAGGATGGTTTAACATTCAAAAATCAACTGATGTAACTAATCATATTAACAAAGTAAAAAAAAGTAAAATATAATCACTCAATAGATAAAAAAAAATCATTTGACAAAATTAGCATTCTTTTCTGATAAAAATTCTCAGCAAACTAGGAATAAAAAAAACACTTCCTCAGTCTGATAAAGGGCATTTACAAAAAGCTGTAGTTAACATCATATTTAATATCATATTAATGTCTTTAATGGTGAATGACAGAATGTTTTCTTCTTAACTCAGGAGCAAGGCATGGAGCCCTGACCAGGTATCTCAGTGGTTAGAGCATCATCCCTATACGCCAAGGTTGTGGGTTCAATCCCCAGTCAGGTGCATACAAGATTCAACCAATGAATGCATAAATAAGTGGAACAACAAAATGATGTTTTTGCCTCTTTCTCTCCCTTCCTCTTTCTCTCTCAAATCAATAAATAAATTTTAAAAAAATCAGGAGCAAGGATGGAGATTAGTTCTTAGTAATTCTATTTGGTATAGCTCTGAATGTTCAAGGCAGGGCAAGAGAAAGAAATCAGTTATTCATATTGAAAAGAATCAAAACTATTTTTAATAACAGGCGACATGATGTAGAAAATCTGATAGCTTCTACAAAAAGCTTTGATAATTAATATGTGGGTTTAGCAAGTTTTCCAGATATAAGAGCAATATAAAAAAATCAATTCTATTTAAAACAGTATCATTTACAAAAATGAAGTGAAAGACCTGTCCACTGAAAACTATAAAACACCACTGAGAGAAGTTAAAGGCCTCAATATATGAAGAGATATAATGAGTTGGGGTTAAAAGATGTAAAAGAGACTTATTAAGATTGCAATTCTTAAAAAAGAAAAAAAAAGATGGTAATTCTTTCCAAATGAATATATAGATCCGACATAATCCCAGTCAAAATTCTAGCTGGCTTTTTTTGTGGATGTTTTACAAAGTGATTCTAAAATTCATATAAAAATGCAGCCGAAACCGGTTTGGCTCAGTGGATAGAGCGTTGGCCTGCGGACTGAAAGGTCCCAGGTTCGATTCCGGTCAAGGGCATGTACCTGGGTTGTGGGCACATCCCCAGTAGGAGATGTGCAGGAGGCAGCTGATCGATGTTTCTCTCTCATCGATGTTTCTAACTCTCTATCTCTCTCCCTTTCTCTCTGTAAAAAATCAATAAAATATATATATTTAAAAAAAAATAAAAATGCAAAGGACCCAGAATATCCAAAACAACTTTGAAAAAGAACAAAGTTGGAAGACTACCAACTTTGATTTAAAGAATTATTAAAAAGCTACAGTAATCAAGATAGTAAAACATCTGAATTCCAGGCCTGGTTCTAACATGATCTGACAATGGAATGTATAAATAAGTGCAAGCTTGGCTACTCTGCATGTGCATGATTATACTTTAAAACCTAAAGACATAACTATTTTTTAAATTACATGTTTCCATATAAAAATATAGTATCTAAAGGGAGGAACTGCATTTTCTTGGCTGAAATATCCTTGTGAAAGCATTCTCTTAACTAAATATGTAAACAAAGGCTTAACTACCTCTAATTTGTTATTGTATTATGATGGCTCTGGGAAGCAGTTTATTTTTGGATATTACAGATTAAAAAGAAAAATCTCAAACATCTAAACCCCTAGGTTTTTAAAATAAGATTTTGAAAGGTTTAATGGAAAGGAAAAATTCATCTTAAAAATATCAACATTAGCTCAGTAAGTAATTTTACTTACAAAAATGAACTGGGATCGAAATTCTTCGATACACGTGGAAGCACCAACAAGCTTGTGATTGTGGTTTGTGACTGGAAGGGTTTTGAGGATAAAGTGTTTTCTACAAGGAAGTTGTTCTCTTTTCCCCTGTTAAAAATTGTTAATAAAAATTATTATAGATATTTCCGTCCTTTTAAAAATTTTATTCCTTCCTAACTTTGTAAAATTAATACATTTCCTTTAATGAAAACAGCTTTTAAAAGTCAGTAAAATTTAAATTCCACTGAAATTACTTTAAAGGAACTTGTCCAAAATTACTCTAAAGTTCATTTAGAAGCACAAATTTTCCTAAAAAAGAAGAGTAATAATGAGAAAAGATATGTCCTCCAGGTATTAAAAAAATTTTACACAGAAATAATAGTAAAAGCGGTTTGCTACTCTCTTGGACAAAAACAAATCTAGAAATAGTTCAAGTATAGTTTTTTATTCTAAAAGCCTTTAGAATAAAAAAATTGAATTATGAGTAAGTGGAGAAAAGCTATAAATAATGTCAAAATGAAATAAGAAAACAGTTATATCCTTATACATAATAAAACATGATGAAAGTCTATGTATTAAAAATTTATATAAAGATAAAAACTATGAGGATCTATAAAAAATATAGGGAATCCTATCTAATAAAGAGGTAACATGCAAATTGACCATCACTCCAACACACAAGATGGCCACCCCCAAGATGGCTGGCCCGGGAGGGCAGTTGTGGGCGATCAGGCCTGCAGGGGAGGACAGTTGGGAGGGACTTGGCCTGCAGGGGAGGGCAGTTGGGGGTGACCAGGCCTGCAGGGGAGAGCAGTTAGGGGTGACCAGGCCGGCAGGGGAGGGCAGTTAGGGGCAATTGGGCAGGCAGGGGAGGGCAGTTAGGGGTGACCAGGCCGGCAGGGAAGGGCAGTTGGGGGCAATCGGGCAGGCAGGGGAGGGCAGTTAGGGGCGACCAGGCCAGCAGGGGAGGACAGTTAGGTATCGATCAGGCTGGCAGGGGAGTGGTTAGGGGGTGATCAGGCTGGCAGGCAGAAACAGTTAGGGGCAATCAGGCAGGCAGGCGAGCAGTTGGGAGCCAGCAGTCCTGGATTGTGAGAGGGATGTCCTACTGCCTGTCACAGTTGGACATCCATCAAGGGGTTCCAGATTGGACAGGGTGCAGGTGAGGGAAACCCCCCTCCCCCTGTGCATGAATTTTGTGCACTGGGCCTCTAGTGTTTAGATAATCTTAAGGTGGGAAAGGCAAAGTCAGACAATATAAGAGAAAATATAGCACTGACTGCTTAACAAAAAAGTCTGAATTAAAAAAAACACCAACCCCATTAATTAAAATTAAAGACAACAAAAAGTAATTGCAACACAGATGGCAGTTAAATGGTTCATATCCTCGGTATGTGTGTGTATGTGTGTGTGTGTGTGTGTGTGTGTGTGTGTGTATATATATATGACATTACAATATACCTTAAAATATGGAAATAGAAGAGGACCTGAAGATATAACACACACACACACACACACAAAAGAAATATAAATGGCGAATAAACACACACAAAATGTAGAAACTCACTAATATTCAGAGATGAATTAAAACAGTAAGATGGCCAAAACCGGTTTGGCTCAGTGGATAGAGCGTCGGCCTGCGGACTGAAAGGTCCCGGGTTCGATTCCGGTCAAGGGCATGTACCTGGGTTGCGGGCATATCCCCAGTGGGAGATGTGCAGGAGGCGGCTGATCGATGTTTCTCTCCCATCAATGTTCCTAGCTCTCTATCTCTCTCTCCCTTCCTCTCTGTAAAAAATCAATAAAATATATTAAAAACAAAACAAAACAAAACAAAAAACAAAAAAGAAAAACAGTAAGATGACATTTTTGCCTATTAATTTTAGCAAAGGTTAAAAACACAACTAATCCCAAGGGTTGGGATGGACAGACATGCTTATGCATTGTTAGTAGGGGAATAGATTGATGTAAGGTTTGTGGTAGGCCTTGGGAAGAACACTATCAAAAGCACGTCTTAAAAATGTGGCCCTCGCTAGCCTATGTGGCTCTTGGTTAGAGCCTTGTCTCTTATACCAGGTGTCCTGTTTAATTCCTGGTCAGGGCACATACCCAGGTTGTGGGTTTGATCACTGAGATGGATATGAGAGGCAACCGATCCATGTTGTTCTCTCTTGCATTAATTAAAAAAAAAAAAGGATTTCTTAAAAAAATTTTTTTAATGTGTAAAATTTTTGATCCAACAATTTTAAAGAATTTAATGCAAGGAAATAAAGATATGTACAAAGATTCAGTACGGTCCACTATAGTGCTATTTAAAATAGTGAAAGATGATAATCTACACTAATAAAAGACAAAGATGCTAATTGACCATACCTTCGCTATGCCCTAAGCCATGCCCACCAGCCAATCAGAGCAACTATGCAAATTAACCCAACCAAGATGGCGGCTGGCAGCCATGGAGCTGGAGTAAGCAGGGGGCTTGGTTGCCCGGGTGATGGAGGAAGCCAAGCTTCCCGCCTGCCCTGAGCCGGCTGTGGCCTCCGCTCATGGCAAAAAAGTTTCAATTATAGAAGACAAATAAATCCCAGATACCTGCTTCCAGCCAGCCTCCACTGGGAGCTTGGGTGGCTGGGGTTGTGGCCAGCCTGAAAACGGCCCTCAGCTCCTCACTCAGGCTGGCCACACCCTCATGGGGTGAGGATACCGGCTGGTGGGGTTAGCCAGCCTGCAAACAGCCATCAGCCCCTCACGCAGGCTGGCCAGGCACCCCAGCAGGAACTCCCACCCTGAAGGGGCTGTGGCCAGCCTGCAAACGGCCCTCAGCCCCTCACCCAGGATGGCCAGGCACCCCAGCAGGGTCCCCTACCCTGAAGGGGCTGTGGCCAGCCTGCAAACAGCCATCAGCCCCTCACCCAGGCTGGCCAGGCACCCCAGGGAGGACCCCCACCCTGAAGGGGCTGTGGCCAGCCTGCAAACAGCCATCAGCCCCTCACCCAGGCTGGCCAGGCACCCCAGCAGGGTCCCCTACCCTGAAGGGGCTGTGGCCAGCCTGCAAACAGCCATTAGCCCCTCATCCAGGCTGGCCAGGCACTCCTATATAATAAAAAGGTAATATGCAAATTGAACCTAACAGCAGAACGACTGGGAATGACTGGTCACTATGATACACACTGACCACCAGGGGGCAGATGCTCAATGCAGGAGCTGCCCTCTGGTGGTCAGTGTGCTCCCACAGGGGGAGCTCTGCTCAGCCACAAGCCAAGCTGATGGCTGCCAGCACAGCGGTGGTGGTGGGAGCCTCTCCCGCCTCCTCAGCAGTGCTAAGGATGTCCAACTGCAGCTTAGGCCTGCTCCCTGCTGGCAAGTGGACATCCCCCGAGGGCTCCCAGGCTGCCAGAGGGATGTCTGACTGCCAGCTTAGGCCCAATCCCCCAGGGTGCGGGCCTAAGCCAGCATGTGGTCATCCCCCGAGGGGTCCCAGACTGCGAGAGGGCACAGGCCAGGCTGAGGGACCCCCCCCCCTCCCCCGAGTGCACAAATTTTTGTGCACTGGGCCTCTAGTTTATCTATAATAGTGAGAACTAATTACATAAATTATTGTTCATACATAGAATCAATGGCTATATGGTCATTACAAATGTTCTACTAGTATAAAGCTCACACCCACAAGTACTATTAAGGATATAGATCCTTAGGAACTTTAATATGCTGATGGTGGGACTATATACTGGCAAAGCACTTTGGAAAATTATGGCATATCTACTTAAGCTGAACAGACACATAATAGGACCCAGCAATTCCACTTCTAACAGAGAAGTGTGCATATATTCTTCAGAAATGTGGACATAAGTACATCAAAAGTCATGAACAAAAATGTCGTAGTTGAATGGAAAAATTAGTCTATACAATGGCATATTATAGTGGAGAGAGAGAGAGAGAGAGAGAGAGAGAGAGAGAGAGAGAGAGAGAGAGAAAGAAACATCCATAGGCTGCCTCTTGCATGCCCTGGCTGGAGTGCTATCCTTCACACTGAAAGGGAGAGGGAAGGCTTCGATCCTCAGTCAGGGCACATACTTGGGTTGTGGGTTTGAGCCCTGTTTGGGGCAGGAGGCAACTGATTGATATTTCTCTCTCACATCGATGTCTTTCTCCCTCTCAAATCAACTAAAGAAAAAAGAAAGGTAAGCCAATAAAAGAGAGGATATACATACAGTATAATTCTATTTTTTAAAAATATATTTTTATTGATTTCAGAGAGGAAGTGAGAGGGAGAGATAGAAACATCAATGACGAGAGAGAATTATTGATCAGCTGCCTCCTGCACAGCCCACACTGGGGATTGAGCCTACAACCCGGGCATGTGCCCTAACCAGGAATCGAACCATGACCTCTTGGTTCATAGGTCGACGCTCAACCACTAAGCCACACCGGCAGGGCCAGCAAAATTCTATTTTTATAAGCCTATATAGGTAGAGATGAATTTTTATATAAACATAGATATACAAATGACTGGGAAGATACACATCAGAGTGTTAGTATTATCTCTGGATTATGTAGTTATTATTAATTTTTATTTTCTCTTCCCTTTATTATCTAATTTCCTATAATAAAATTTTCTTTATTAGGAAATAGTTTTTTATAGTAACATGTTTTATTTGGTTTATTATGCCAATATTTCTTAAGGTCCTCTTAACATTGCAGATAGATGACGCCTTACTATGGGATAAGCACCCTTCAGAGAAAATTGCACAAGATATTGCACGTTTACTAACAAGGAAGAAAGTGAGGCATCTCTACTTGATAACTCAGGTACCACAACAAAAACAACTGCAGAAAGTGACCAAGATCACATGGGTGCAGTCACACTGCTGGGCTCCTTCCCTTGTTTTCAGCTGTCAGGAGGGAGATACCTTTCAATGGAGGCTCATGACTATTGTGGAACCCACAGGCTCTCTCTGAACTTTCCACGTTGGATCAGTCAGTCTAAAGTTTATGGAAGCAAATACACTTCCAGGTACAGGAAGTCAAGAAAGGTATTGAGGGTGAGGCAGCCAACCCACAGCACTAATATCACTGAGAAAAAACAGAATTCAACTAGAATTTACTTACCCAATTCTTTCAATTTCCTTTTTAGGCCTCTTCTCTCCTTACCTTCTCCTGTTCTTCTTATTTTTTTCCCCTTCCAGTCTTACCTAGGCTTCAAGTTTGCATGTATGTGGCTCTAAACCGAAGTGAGCAGGACTGCCAACTTGGACCTTTACTTAAACCATTCTTATGTTCCTCTATTTTTCAGACACAAGTCTTGAGTTATGCTAACTCCTAGGGGCAGTTCATTTCATCTAACCTTTATAAATATTTCTCAGTGGCTACTGGTAAAATACTCCTACTACATAGTTCACAGTCTGAAGCAGCAGTTTACATCTTTAAGAACTTAAAGGATTTTAAAGCAAGTGTGGTGAAGCTTCTTCAATAGCACCATAAAGAGTGAGTAACGGTGGCAAGCAGCACCTCATAAACACACCTGTAAGTGAGGTGGGAAATCAAAGATAGAAGGTACGACTCCAGGTTTCAGTTTAATATTTGGAGCACTTCTGTCAAAATCTGTCTTCTTAAAGTGCCTTGAACACAACACATCTCCCTTTTTAGGCTCCCAAAAGCCTGCAGCATTCACATCAAGTCTTTTCATCGCTAATACCCATTTTCTTTTTACATTCTCATCTGTGGGGAATCTGGAAAAAAATACAAGAAGTATTTTAAAATTAAACACTTATTGATATTATACCTGAATTAAGGATGTGACTACATTAACTTCTTAACCAGTCTGCTATTACTCTTGGGAAATAGTACAGCAGAAACGATCAAGATGCATGCTTTTGTAACTTTCGGTTTTAACAGTCAGGTTTTCCCACTAATCATATGCTGTAGACATATGGCCCTCATTTAAATTTTTCTCATGTTATAACGAAATTTCAAAGGAGATTTAATACTTTATGATAAGATCCACCACTGAAGGTTTTTCTGCGTCCAAGGACAGAAAACATTTGGGCAAAGGTCCTCCCCGCGGGTTGTAAACTGCGTGCACACAGCGCCGACGTTCCCGGAAGGTGTGCTGAAATGCCAAGGAGCGCTGGCCAACGCGGCTCCGACCGGGCACCCTGGCAGGCAGGCATCTTTACCTTCTGAACCCAATTAAAAGCGTAAGGCTATCACCGTCGCTTCACATTTTAAGCGGGAAGGTTATTTAAAAAAGAACGGGGGAACTGAAGTCCAAAACTTAAGAGTGAAGCCAAACTGCGTCTGGCTTTTGGAAGTCCTCGGCTTAACGACAGAGAAGAGCCTCACACGTGAAAAGTCAGGCCTTTGAGCTTGGAGTTGGGCAGACAGCGGGAGGCACATCCGATCGCCGAGCAGCATTTCACCATGACGTTAGCGGCTCATACCAGGACTGAAAGAAAGCGAACACGGCCGCGTTAGTGACTTCGGAGCCCGGGGGACAGTCACCGTCCCCAGTTCCTTCCGGGTGAAGGGAATCGCACCAGAAAGCCCGAGGCGAACGGGTTCTTCCACCTGCAGCCTCGCCCTCACCGTTCCCGGGGCTCGGCTCCGGAACGAGCCCAGCGGTACCGAGCGGCGCTCCGAGGCGCGGATTTCAATGTCGTGGGCGCGTTTGCGCGTCTCCCCCCCGCGGCTGTCTCCCAGGGGGGCTCTGCCTCGGGGCTCGGCACCGGGACACCTCCCCGACCCCGGCCCGCCGGCCCGTCCCCAGCCTCCGGCGCGCGCGGCTGCCCCGGGGAGACCTCCTGGCCCCGCTTGGTCCGCGCTCCGCTAGTCGGAGCTCTCGTAGAGCACACGCTTCTCCCCAGCACGTCCCAAAGCTGTCACCTCACACGAACAGTATGTCAGAGGTTCTCTAATGAAAGTCTTTCTCCCTCAGTCTGTGAGTCCCAGGGCGGCATGGTGGGGCGTGTTTTTCCCTTTTTTTTTTTTTTGCGTTGTCCCCACGACTTAGCTGGTGACTGGTATACAGGAAATGTTAACACATAATTTGAAGAAATAAAGAGCAAGTAACGGGGAAGGGGGGAGGGGGGACACAGGGAAGCAGCGCCGGGCGCCGGTGAGCGTCCCGGTGCCCAGCAGCGGCGGCGCGCGCCCGGGATCCGCGCGGGGCCTGGGGCCGGGCCGAGCTCCGCCCATTTCTCGAGGCCGCGGCCCCGCGCGGGAGAGGGAGGGGCCGCCCTGCCAGCTGCGGATGCGGCCGGAGAGGGGCCCTTCCCCGGAGGCCGCCGGGCGTCTTGGCGCCGCTGCAGTCTTTCTGGCCCGAGCCACGCCCAAGAGTTGGGGCGGGTCGCCATGGGGTGGGGAAAGCAAAGGCTACCTAAGAGTCATTACCGTTAGCAGCGAGGAGAGCGACTAACGTCGACGACAGAGATTGCGTCTTCCTCGGCTTCCGCTCGGTCGGCCGGAAATCCCACTGCCCCGGGTCACGTGCTCAGCCGCCATATTGGCTCCGCTGGCCACCGGGGCCGGGAGGGGTGTGCTAGGGCGGCGCTGTTCGTCTGGACGTAGTTTCCATCCTGGGAGAAGGGTCCTCGGAGTGTTCAGGGGAGGGAGCGGAGATGGCGGCCTTGGTGCGGGAAGATGGCGCCCGAGGCCCAGAGCGAGGGCGGCGGGGCTGCGAGCATTATGACAGAGGATGTCTCCTGAAGGTGACGACTTAATTGGGCTCTTCCCCTACGAGCTTCCGCCGGGCCGGGCTGGGGATGGAGTGAGCAAGGCGGTTAGGTCTGGGCTTAAGTTTGAGGCTGAGCTGTTTGTGAGGCTGCTACCTTCTTCGCCTCCACCTGCGTTCCTGCTGCGGAGAGCATTCTTGGCGAGGCGTCCACAGGCCGCGCATTTCCTCCTGTTTTGTGCGTGGCAAGCAAAGCGGTCCTTGTTTGGGAAGAGCCTGGGCTTGCACATCGATCCCGTTATCAGTGGGTTTATTTATCTGTTTTTTTGTTTTTGTTTTGCTGCTGGAAGTAGACTGAGGCAGTCTCGGGCCTGTGCTGGCCTTTCCCCAGGATCCCCTTCCAGTGTGATGAAATAATGGACGAGGGATAACAAGCAGAGAGTCCGATATGATTTCGGCTCCTGTAGTAGATACGCTTTACAGCTGCATTTGAGAGGCAGTGAGTGTGCCAGACCTGCCAAGGCCGACATGGATGTGTGAACTAGGAAGACAGTCTTGTAATTGCCACCAAGCAGGACGCGATGGGTAGGGCAGTGCCTGGTATGCATATATTGTTACTTTCGCGGTTCACTTTGAGAAACATTTCTAGTCAGTCTGTAATTTTAAAAATAGGCACCCATCCGATTCAAGTTTCCTGATTCTTCGTGCAAGAAACAGTTTGAGGATTTTGCTTAGAAAGCTTGAGATTTGGGGCTCCACAACCCTACACCCAGATCTTAGCCTTGCTCCTTAATAATGTGAGCAAACTACCCTTTAAGCGCCTCATATATAATATACAGCTAATAATAGAAGTTCCTGTTGAAGAACTATGAGGCCTGTAAAGACCATCTACAGCTTTTTTGCAGGCCATGGTTTGGTGACTGACTATTCCTCTACTGCGCCGGGCGAGCCCTTTGAAGGTTGGTCGTTCACCATGTGCGGTGTAAGGAATTGAATGCTATTCTTATGCTTCCATTTCCACTGAGTTGTTCTGTCACTCTTTCAAGCTGGAGATGTAAAGCTGAATTCAACATTTTAGCCCTCCCTCTACCCCCCAAGAAACTATGCACTTGTATCTGCGTTTCATAACACTAAGCTAATGGGCCTGGAGTTATCAGATGCTTTTTTTTTTTTTGGTCCTTCCCCTCTGTCTTCCTTAAATACCAGAGGCCAAGAGGAAAAAGTTTTTAGGAGGAAGTCATCAACTAAATCAAATGCTGCTGTTGGAGTAAGAGAAGAACTAAACATTGCTCCAGGAGGAGGTAGCTGGTATCCTGAGAAGCTTCTGTGGAGCTACTGGGAGGAAGCTTTATTGGAGTGTATTCAAGAGAGCATGGGGTAGTGGAACCGCTAACGGTCTTCGTAGGCAGCCCTTGGAGTGTGTCGTAACAGAGCAAAAGCACAAGGCTGTGGTTGCTGGGAGATGTGGGGTCATGGGATTATTTTCCCGTGAAGATGGGAGATATTGCTGCATGTTTGTATATTCTTGGACATGACCCAGTGAAGTGAGAACATTTTATAATAAATAGGAGGGAGAGGCAAAAACGGTGGGAGCGCTGTCCTTGGGTATTCAAAGAGAACATGGAGCCCAGTGCATAAGTTAGCCTTTAGTAATAACATGGACTGTAGATTCTGTAACAGAAAGGAAGATAGAATATAAGGTACATTTGCAAGTAGGTTGATAGGATTTGTGGGAGGATGTTCTCTTGATTATTTCTGTTGTTTTCATAGTGAAATAAGAAGCAAGGTCATTCAGCAGATTGTAAGGAGGTAGGAAGAGGTGTTCAAGGTTTAAAGGGAGAGGAGTCGTGAAGTAATCTAGGTTCTAGGACCTACACTCTGGAAGAAGGAGGGAATTGACTGGGAAAACGTGGTAGTAAGAACCCACTTTTATTTAGTGGTTATGACTTTAAATTGAGACCAGTCAGTGTTGAGGTGCTTTTTCTTGATCTGTGTTCAGCTGTTCCTATGTAAGTTAAGTGGGAGAGAGTTGGATTTAACCAGTTGAGATTCTGGGTGAGTAGGTAGAGGAAGAGAGAAGGAACCCAGGGTGTGTACAGAAGAATTGGAGTGTGTTGGAAAGAGAGGAGGTAGTGTTTAGAGAATTCCATACTTGAAATTAAGTTACAAACACGCCTCAGTTCTTCTAGATTAGTGGTTCTCCATGTGGGGTGAATGGACTTCTCAAGGTCAAACTACTCTCCTTCAGTGTCTAATTAAGACATTGTCTTTTTAAGTGTGTGCAAAACTAGTGATTAATACTGCTGGCACCTTAGCACAAATCAAGGCAGGGGCACTGAACTGTGGCTACACCTATATATTACAAAAAAACCAACAAAGCAAAAAGCCAGGTTCACTTAAGAATGTCATTGATAAAACTTAAGCAGCAAAATTATTAATTTTATAAAATCTCATCCCTTGATTATATCTCTTCACATGTTTGATGTTTTCATCAACCACAAATTAGGTGGTTTTGTGAGGAAAAGCTCTTGTGCAATTGTATTATGAACTGAACTATTTGCATTTTTTATTGAGCAGCATATTTTTACTTGAAGTATGGTTATTCAAGCTTGGGTATTTGGTGAACATTTTCTTAAAAAGGAGAGAAGGGTGACTGTGTCATTACCAGGAAAACAACTAACTGATAAAATTTGAGCTTTCACGTACCAAGTAAATTTTGGAAAACGTGTCTTAGTCACTGTGAGCTTGAATGCTTCCCAATACCTAAAAAAATTTCTGATGAGATGGGTAGTGATATTACCAAATGCGATTTTTTGATATTGCATAATTCAGTGAACTGATACTTTCCAAATGACCTGTGCATGAGTAAAAGATACATTCAGAGTTCAAGATAGGTCAGTGGGTTTTACTGTAACAGGGAGAATAGTTTACTGATATGATTTCAGAGTCCATATTGCAACTAACCAAGAGTTGTTGAGTTTTTGTATAGTATCAGAGAACAATATCCAAATTCTCCGAAAAGGCTATTAAAGTACTCCCATTTCCAGCTACGTATTTGTGTGAGTCCAAAATTTCTTCAGATACTTCAACCAAAACTAATTGAATGAGAACAGAATTGAGAACCCAGAAATTTTTGGGGAAAATATAACTTATTTTTCATTAAACTGTTATGTTAAGATGTAATGGGCTTGTTACTATTATTTTTAAAAGTAATACTTTCAGGACCTATCAGTTTAATTTATAATATGGTATTAATAGATATAATTCACATAAACAAAAGCTCTCTGGGATAATCAATAATTTTTAAGAGTGTAAAGGGGTCCTAAGACCAAAACGTTGGAGAGCCACTGTTCTGTAGTATATGACTGAGCATATGTTGAAGTGAGAAAGGCAAGTAACTGAGAGTTCAGGGTATTGGGAGGATTATTATTGTGGATGTGCAGGTCACTAAGAGTTAGGACAAGAAGAGTGTTGGAGAGAGAGGCAGCCAGTTGAGTGTTAAAATCTTTAAGGAATAAACTATATCATGGTAAGTCATGGCATAGGAAGTCTTCAGAAATGAGTGGGGAGCTAAAAGGTTACATTGTACTGGAAAGTATTGGGTTAGTTTGCTAGTCTGAAAACTTCTTAATGTACTAGTTGGGGTAAGGCTAAATAAATTGCTATAACAAAAAGACTCAAGAGTAAGGTGAGTTAAAGAATAATGAGTTTATTTCTCCTACTAACAGTTCCAAGGTGAGTGATCCTGTTTGTTGATGAGGCTCTGTTCTACATGATCACTCCAGAGACAAGTTTTTTCAGTTGTATTATTTTGCCATGTTTTAGGGCATATAGTCATCAGCTGGTTGCTGCCATATACAGGTTTCATCTACGGAAAGGGAAAAGGGAACATGAAGGAGGAGTCATGCCTGGTTTCTTAATGAATATTCAGGCATAGGAGTGGCACTGATGTCTTCTGCCCATATTCTCTTGGTAAGAACTTAGTCATTTGGCCACAACTAACAGCGAGAAAGTCTAGGAACTGTAGTATAGCTGGGAGGAAGGAGAGAACAGATTTTTGTGGACAGTCTTTGTCAATATTTAGATATTGAAGTAGGTAAATGAATTTATCTGGATATGTCAAGAAGTTGTTGCTGGCTTGCCGTTTAGGGTGTTGGAGGGTTAATTTCTAGTCTAGAGATTTGCATCTTTCATGATTCTTTTGTCTTTAAGGACAAGGTTGTGTTCAACTTGATACAAACATATAGATGTTGAAAAGAATAGTTAAAATATGCCAAGAAACAGTTAAATGTTATGTTTTGGATCAGCTTACCCAACTGATTTGTAGGTTGTATTCTTTGAACTTGTTCCAGGAAGAGGAGGAAGAAAATTTCTTTTTGCATTGCAAACTTGTCTTCTCTTGCTTATTATAACTCTTTTTCTCCCCTGGGCATTAGGCACCTTGCTGTGACAAGTTGTATACTTGCCGGTTGTGTCATGATAACAAGGAAGATCATCAGCTAGATCGCTTTAAAGTAAAGGAAGTACAGTGCATAAATTGTGAAAAAATTCAACATGTAAGATTTTATCACATTTTTATTTTCTTTATTTTAAAAAAATTTTTACTAAGGTGGTTTTAAAATTTTAATCGAGTATTGCCAAGTACGGCAGCTCTCAAAGTAAGCAATATCTTTGCTTTAAGTGTTTAAAACCTTATAAAAATAAAACTGCATATACTTTAACATAATTCTGGATATTCAAACAGTAATTCAAAATGTTTTGGTAAATTTATCCCAATTTTTACTTATGTGTGCCTTTTTTTAGGCCCAACAGACTTGTGAAGAGTGTAGCACATTGTTTGGAGAATATTATTGCAGTATATGCCATCTGTTTGACAAAGACAAGAAGCAGTATCATTGTGAAAACTGTGGAATTTGTAGGTACTGTAAAATATTCTTTTCTAATTCTAGTGTATCTGGACAATAATTGTTTTTAAAGATCAACTTTATTGGAATATAATTACATCTAATAAAACACATTCATTTTAAGTGCCCAGTAAATTTTCATAAATATTCATATTTATGTGACTACCAACACAATCAAGATAAAAAAGCATTCCATTATTCTAAACATTTTCTTCATGCTTTTTTGGTAATAATCATTTAATTAGCCCACCAACTATTGTGTGGCTATTTAACATTTTAACTTTGGGATATAAAATATGCTTGTATAATGAAGTGTTTTGTAAGTATCTGAGGTAGAAAATTAATGGTGGATTTTTCCCTTTTAAAAATTTGTTTTTAAAAGATTACAAAAGTTTTTATAATGTCAGAAAATATGAAAAAGTAGAAAAGAAAAATAAAACCACCTACAGTCCAACCACCCACTGACAAGCTACTATTCACATGTTGGTATATAGGAATTTTAAAAAAAAAACCTGAAGTATTAGAATTATACAAAAGCATATATGTAGTGTACGTATGTCTTGAAGTATAGTAATAAACAAAAAAGCCACTCAGTTTAAGAAATAGAATGATACTAATGTTGAGGCTCCTAGTGTTTTATGTCAGTCTTTTTTTTTCTCTTTGTTCCCATAGGAGATAATGACTATGTTAAATACTTTAAATCACTTTCTTTTATTTTATAGTTTGTTTTTAAGGCTAGATAGCAAACATACTAAAAGATACAGAAATTATGAACAGCCTTATGAGTTTGCTTATGAGCACACTCTTTTAACTACTACCCAAATAAAAATATAGAATATTCATAATACGTTAATAGACTTTCTTATGCCCTAAGGCAATACACTCCCACAAGGTAAACACTCTCCTGACTTTTTGTACTTTTTATAAATGGAAGCATATAATACATGCTCCTTTGTGTTTTGTTTTATATACTTTAAAGCAATATTATTAGGTACTTACATAGAATTGTTATATTTTCCTTTATGATTGACTCATTTATCATTATATAATATTTTTTTAATGTTTAATAATGTTTTCTGTATTAAGATTCACTATCTATATCAGCTTTCTTTTGATTAATGTTTTTATCTTAAGATCTACTGTATCAGCTTTCTTTTGATTAGTTTTTGCTTGTATATCCTTTCTCATTTTTTATTTGCAAACATATTGTATAGTATTTACATTTAAGCTGTGTATCATGTAAGCAGAATATAATAGGGTTTTGTGTTTTTATTGAGTTGATAAAGACTGATTTTTTTACTGAAGTATTTAGTCCATTTATTAATATAATTATATTAATTTCAATTAACAGTTTTAGTATTTTCTACTGCTGTAGTATTTATGTATTTGTCTTTTTTCTCTGTGTTCTTGCCACTTTCGGATTAATCAGCCTTTTTTCTATTCTATTTTTACTAGTAGTCCTGTGTACGAATTTGTGCGCCAGTAGCTTGCCGCCTTCCAGTAGTTATCCGCCCGCTGCCCTGCCCTCTTGTAGCTCCCTCCGCCCCCCTGCTCCCCCTCATAGCTTGCTGCCGCCCACTTGTAGTTTGCTGCCCCACCCTCCTGCTGATCTGTGATCGGGTTGTTACGTGGTCGGTCGTTATGTAACCACCATTTGCATATTACATCTTTGTTATATAGAATTAAACTCTGTAAGATGTTTTCCTGAACGGTTAGTATTCGCTTATATTTACCATTTCAATTGCTCTTCTATAATACCTTCTTTTTAAAAAAAATTTAAATAGTCTGGCCGGTGTGGTTCAGTGGTTGAGCATTGACCTATGAATTAGGAGGTCATGGTTCAGTTCCTGGTCAGGGCTCATGCCCGAGTTGCAGACTCCATCCCTAGTAGGGGATGTGCAGGAGGCAGCTGGTCAATGATTTGCATCATTGATGTTTCTGTCTCTCCCAATTCCTTCTCTGAATTAATAAAAATATATTGAAAAAATTTTTTAAATAATTTTTTAATTCCAGTTGACATATAATATTATATTAGTTTCAAGTGTATACTCCAGTGATTAGTCATTACAGTGGGGCCTTGACTTACGAGTGTCCCGACTAACGAGTTTTTCGAGATACGAGTGTCTCTCGGCCGATTTTTTGCTTTGAGTTGCGAGCTAAAATTTGGGTTACGAGCCAGCTTCAGATACCCCACCGCTAGTTGGCGCAGCAAATGTACTTATTGCTATTTTTATGTTCATATTTTTTTTCCTTCTTAAAGAAGATCCTTTAACATTTCATGTAATACTGGTTTGGTGGTGATGAACTTCTTTAGCTTTTTCTTGTCTGGGAAGTTCTTTATATGTCCTTTGATTCTAAATGGTAGCTTTGCTGGGTCATTTTGGTTGTAGGTCCTCACTTTTCATCACTTTGAATTTGAATACTTCTTGCCAATCCCTACTGTCCTGCAGAGTTTCTGTTGAGAAATCAGCTGATAATCTTATGGGAGCTCCCTTGTAAGTAAGTAACTGCTTTTCTCTTGCTGCTTTTAAGATTCTCTTTTTGTCTTTAACCTTTTGCATTTTAATTATGATGTGTCTTGGTATAGACCTCTTTGGGTTCATCTTGTGTGGTACTATCCTTGCTTCCTGGACTTATATGTCTATTTCTTTCACCAAGTTACAGAAGTCTTCTGTCATTTTTTCAAATAGTTTTTGAATATCTTCCTGTCTCTTTTCTCCTTCTGGCATCCTCATGATGCCAGTATTGGTATGCTTGAAGTTGTCACAGGAGGCTCCTTACACTCTCTTAATTTTTTTGGATTCTCTTTTATTTTTGCTGTTCTGACTGGGTGTTTTTTGATTCCTTCTATTCTATATCACTGATTTAATTCTTGGCTTCATCTACTCTACTGTTGATTCCCAGTAAATTAAACTTCATTTCAGTTAGTATATCCTTCATTTCTAACTGCTTCTTTTTTATGGTTTTCATGCATTTTTTTTTTTTTAATGCTGTAAGTTCATTGAGCATCCTTATAACCAGTGTTTTAAACTCTGCATCTAATAGATTGCTTATCTTCATTTTGTTCTTTATGTGGAGTTTTGTTCTGCTCTTTTTTGGGGGACATGCTTTCTTGTCTCCTTTATTTTGGCAGCCTCCTGTATTTGTTTCTATGTATTAGGTAGAGTTACTGTGTCTCCCAAGCTTGGTAGAGTGGCCTAATGTAGTAGGTGTCCTCTGGGTCCATTGGCACAGGCTCTCCAGTCACCCAAGCTGGGCACTCCAGTTGTGTCCCTCCCCACACCCCAATGTGGGCCGTGTATACTCTCCTATTGTAGTTGAGCCTCGATTGCTATTGGCACATCAATAGGAGGGATTTACCCCCAGGCCAATATGTGATGCAACTGGCAGCCATGGAGGATCAGCTGTGGAGAGGCCCGCCCCAATGAGTCTGCCCTTTGAGCCTGTCATTGTGTAGGTGTTTGGGTTGTGTTTTAATGTAGTTGAAGCTATCCACCCTGTGCACTGGCTCTGGGGCCTCCAAGGAGGTTGAGGTCAAGGTCAACTGCCACTGGCCACCTAGCTTGAGCTACAAAGTGATCTGCAGCTGCTGCTAGTTCTTCAGGGCCATTTAGTGAGAGGTATGGGGCACACTGAGGCCAGATGCTGCTTGTTTGAGGGATTTAGGAAATTCTGAAGCCTGACTTTTCCCATTGAAAAGGCACTGGAAACAGCCTGGGTGAGCCTGTAAGTTTGGTGGGTTGGAGTCTCAGGGAATCACCAGAGCAGGCAAATGGTGATAGTTAGGTTGATGGAGACTCAGATAATGCTCCTGCCTGCTGGCTTTGTGAGGAAAGGGTTCAGGAAAGGAACAATGGCCTCTGCCATTACTTCTCTCTGGGAAAAAGTGGTGCCCACCCCTCCCCTAGGTCTCATCCTGATGCCAAACATTCATTTCCTCCTTGTATGTTCCTGGTGCCTTTCGAGCTGCTATCCCAGTGCTGGAACTCAGAAAGAGTGAGTCAGAGTAAGTTCATGTGCAGGTCCTTTAAGAGGAGTTGACTGGGACTCCAGCAGCCCTTTGTCTTACTCAGCCTCAATTCATGGTGGCTTTTACAGCCAGAAATTACAGAGACATCTCTTCCCAGCACTGGAGCCCTGGGCTGGAAAACCTGGTGGGGGGCTGGGATCCCTTGCTCCTCAGAGGAGACCTCTGTACCTGATACATTTCTTCTGATTTTTTTTCTGCCACACATGGCTGTGGGACCAGCCTGTTCTATATCTCTGCCCCTCCTCCCGGTCTTGATGCAGCTGCTTCTTTAAATCCCTAATTGTAGGATTTCTATTCAGCTAGATTTCAGGTGGTCTGAATGATGGTTGTTCTGTATTTAGTTGTAATTTTGATATGGTTGTGGGAGGATACAAGTACTGTGTTTACCTATGCCACCATCTTGACTAGAAGGGTCCCTCTTCTTTATCTTTGGAATTATTTCCTTTCTACTTGAAAGCAGATGGGAGAGGCAGGTGCAACCTTTGTTGTCAGTAGTTCTCTGTTGTGAAAAGGGGCAGCACAGTCACCTAAACCTCTCTGCATTTTACAAAGTTAAACAGCTGAAAGGAGCAAAATAAGAAGCCAAACCTCGTTGAATGTACAGTGGGTATTGGCAGTGCCTACCTAGTTAGGATTCGCCTGCTTGCTACTCCTGTTCAATTGTTTCTTTTGAAGGCAGTGGATTTTTCTCTTGCATTTCTATCTTCTTCAATTTCAATTTATCGAATTTCTCAATCTCAGCCATATTGGATTTGTCTTGTTCCCAATCTTAAGGGAAATGCTTTTAGTTTTTGCCCATTGAGTATAATTTTTGCTATAAGTTTGTCATATATGGCCTTTAATATATTGAGATATGCTCCCTCTATTCCCACTTTTCTGAGAGTTTTTATCATAAACGGGTGCTGGATATTATTGGATGCTTTTTTTTAACATCTGTTGATATGAGCATGTTATTTTTTTTAATCCTTCATTTTGTTTATGAGATATACACATTTATTGATTTGTGAATATTATACCAGCCTTGGGTCCTCAGAATAAATCCCACTTGGTCCTGGTGTATGATCTTTTTAATGTATTGCTGGTTCCAATTTGCTAATATTTTGTTAAGGATTTTAGCATCTATGTTCATCAGGGATATTGGCCTATAATCTTTCTTTGTAATGTCTTTATATAGTTTTGGAATTAGGATAATGCTGTCTAGTAAAAAGAGGTTGGGCATCTTCCCTCCTTTTGAATTTTTTGGTATAATTTGAGGAGGATAGGTGTTAGTTCTTTGAATGTTCAGTAAACTTGATTGTGAAGCATCTGGTCCAGGACTTCTGTTTACTGGGAGGTTTTTTGTTGTTTGTTTTAAAATGTTTTTTATTGATTTTAGAAAGGAAGGGAGAAGGAGAAAGGGGTAGAAACATCAATGAGAGAAAAACATCAACATTGACCAGCTGCCTTCTGCACTTTCACCCCCCGCACCCCCTTCCGCCACTGGGGATCTAGCTGCAACTGGGCATGTACCCTGACCATGAATCGAACCAATGGTCTCTTGGTGCATGGGTTAATGCTCAATTACTGAGCCACACTGGCGTGGCTGCTGGAAATTTTTTGATTACTGCTTCAATTTCATTAGTTGTTATAGGCCTATTCATGTTTTCTGATTCTTCCTGATTCCGTTTTAGAAAGTTGCATTTTTCTAGGAATTTTTCCATTTAATCCAGGTTGTCAGGCTTGTTGGCATATCGTTGGCATATAGCATTTTCTTACAATCCTTCGTATTTCTGTGGTGTCAATTGTTATTTCACCGCTTTCATTTTTAATTTTATTTATTTGGGTCCTCTCTCTTTGTTTCTTTAATTTTTTTTTTTTTTTTTTTTTTTTTTTGATTTCAGAGAGGAAGGGAGAGGGAGAGAGAATCATTGACCAGCTGCCTCCTGCATGCCCCCACTGGGGATTGAACCTGCAACAGGCATGTGCCCTTTCAGTAATCTCCTGGTTCATAGGTTGCTGCTCGACTACTGAGCCTTCCTGGCTGGACTCTCTGTTTCTTGATGAATATGGCTAAAGGTTCATCAAACTTGTTTATCTTTTCAAAAAACCAGCTCTTGGTTTCATTGATTTTTTTTTTTTTGTCTCTAAGTCATTTATTTCTGCTCTGATCTTTATTATTTCCTTCCTTTTACTTACTCTTGGCTTTTCTTTGTTCTTTTTCTAGTTATTTTTGTTGTAGGGCTAGATTATTCACTTGAGATTTTTCTTGTTTCTTTAAGTAGGCCTGTAATGCTACGAATTTCCCTCTCAGGACTGCTTTTGCTGTGTCCCATAGATTTTTGGGTTTTTGTGTGTTAATTTTCATTTGTTTCCAGCTAATTTCTGATTTCTTCCTTGATCTCGTTGTTTGTTTAATAATATACTAGCCTCCATGTATTTGAATATATTTGAGGTTTTTAAATTGTAGTTGATTTGTAGTTTCATGCCATTGTGATTCTAGAACAGGGGTGGGCAAACTTTTTGACTCGAGGGCCACAATGGGTTCTTAAACTGGACTGGAGGGCCGGAACAAAAGCATGGATGGAGTATTTGTGTGAACTAATATAAATTCAAAGTAAACATCATTACATAAAAGGGTACGGTCTTTTTTTTTTTTTAGTTTTATTCATTTCAAACGGGCCGGATCCGGCCCGCAGGCCGTAGTTTGCCCACGGCTGTTCTAGAAGATGCTTGATATGATTTCAATCTTCTTGAATTCGTTAAGGCTGATTTTGTATCTTAACATGTGGTCTCTCTTTGAGAATGTTCTATGTGTGCTTGATAAGAATGTATATTCTGCCCTAGCTGGTTTGGCTCACTGGATAGAGCGTCGGCCTGGGGACTGAAGGGTCCCAGGTTCGATTCCAGTCAAGGGCATGTACCTTGGTTGCAGGCACATCCCCAGTAGGGGGTGTGCAGGAGGCAGCTGATCGATGCTTCTCTCTCATCGATGTTTCTAACTCTCTATCCCTCTCCCTTCCTCTCTGTAAAAAATCAATGAAATTATAAAAGAAAAATGTATATTCTGCTTTGGTATAAAATGTTCAATAAATATCAATTAAATTCCTCAGATCTAGTGTGTCGTTTAAGGTTGCTATTTCCTTGTTGATTTTTTTGTGTGAAAGATTTATCCAGTGATGTCAGTTGGGTGTTAAATTCTACTACTTTGGCTGTGTTGCTGTAGATCATGGGTCCTCAAACTTTTTAAACAGAGGGCCAGTTCACTGTCCCTCAGACCGTTGGAGGGCCGGACTATAGTTTAAAAAAAAACTATGAACAAATTCCTATGCACACTGCACATATCTTATTTTGAAGTAAAAAAACAAAACGGGAACAAACACAATATTTGTATTTGCATGTAGCCCGTGGGCCGTAGTTTGAGGACCCCTGCTGTAGATCAAGCATGTCAAACTCAAAGGCTAACATAACACAGGCCAGATAAACAAGGTTTAAGTTTATGTGGGTCGCAAAAAAACAAAAGCTCCAATTTTCATAGAAACGTAGGTTTATTTCAATAGAGACATGCTGAATACAAAAGACTGAAATGAATGAGTAATTGTTAACATAAAATAATAGAACATTTTAAGAAAAATTAATATTTTTTCTTGAACATTAACTTACCAGACGCTGAGTAACTGCACAAATTAATTAGCATAACACAAATAAACCTATTTTTCTTGTTCTCCAAAAGTGAAATATTTCCTGTTGTGCACACCAAACAAGTCAGTCCAAGACTAATGACGTGGCAATCGGCTGCTTAAAATATTCGCTGCTAGTGTTAGTGGAGAGAAAAGGTGCGCCTGCGCGTAAGGCGCATAAGGGAAATGAATGCAACATGATTATAGTAATCAGTCATTAGCAAATGTTGTAGCTTGTTATTAATAATTATGTATAACAGGATATTGGAAAAATTAAGTTACGAACTTTTTATTGAAACGTTTTTTACATACTGTTGTATTGACTGGGCTGCAAAAATATTCAGTGTGGGCCACATGCGGCCCACGGGCTGAGAGTTTGACATGCTTGCTGTAGATCTCTCCCTTAAAGTCCACCAAAAGTACTTTTTAATGTGTATTTAGGTGCTCCTATAATCAGTGCATAGCATATATGTTTACAAGGGTTATATCCTCTTGTTGGGTTGATTAGTATTGTGTAGTGTCTTTGTTTGTGTCTTGTATGGCCTTTGTTTTGAAGTCTATTTTTCAGATACAAGAATTGCTACCCCACTTTTTTTTTTTTTTCTTCTCATTTGCATGGAATAGGTTTTTTCATCTCTTCACTTTCAGCCTGTGTGACTCCTTTGTTCCTAGGTGGGTCTGTGTGGGTCATGTTTTCTTACCAATCATCTACCCTGTGTCTTGATTCCAAGGTTTGGATATAATTTGAATAGGTTCTACTTATAATTACTTCTGGTTCTTGCACTTGCATCATCAAAATTCAGTACTGACTCCAGAGCTCAAGTACATGATAAATAGATTCTGGTTTATCATTACATTGGTCTATGCATTGCCAAATTCAATGCTTTTATAACCTTCAGGAGCTCATAATGTTGTTTAAAGGTGGTTGTCTTCTTAGCTCCAGTATAGCAAAACATTTTTTATTTTTAGGTTATAAACACCTATTAAGATAATCAAGCCTATGAATTTCAGTTTTTATACCATCTGTTCCCTTCCCAGTGTCCCCTTTTTTTGTTAATCCTCACCTGAGGATATTTTTTTTCATTGAATTTTAGAGAGAGTAGAATGAAGGGGGGTGGGGGAGAGAGAGAGAGAGAGAGAGAAAGAGAGGTGTGAGAGGGACACATCGATTGATTGCCTCCTTCACACATCGGGGCACAGGATCGAGCCTGCAACCCAGGTATGTGCCCTTGACTGTGAATTGAACCCACAATCGTTTGTTTCATTGGCCTATGCTCTAACCATTGAGAACACCAGCCAGGGCCTTCCCAATGCCTTAAACACAGTTTTCTTTATTTGTCCACTTATGAGCCTTATCAAGTAAATTTTGGTGTACAAACATCATAAAACAGGTTTTCAACCAGGGATGATTCCTCCCCTCCCAGGCATATTTAGTAATGTCTGGGGACATTTTTGATTGTTACAGCTGCGTTGGGAAGGAAAGTAGTCTGCTACTGGCATCTACTGGTTATAGGCCAGAGATACTGCTAAGCATCCTATAGTGCACAAGATAGTTCTCCACCAAAAATAATGATCTAGCTCCAAATGTCAATAAGCCCAGGTGGAGAAACCCTAGTCTAGAATGCTGCTATCTGACTCTTGTGTTACGATGAACAAATTATCACTGTAGTAAAAATAAATCTAATCTTTTGCCTTTTCCTTTTTCTTTCAGGATAGGTCCAAAGGAAGATTTTTTCCACTGTTTGAAATGTAACTTATGCCTAGCAATGAATCTCCAAGGAAAGCACAAGGTACCAGTATGCATACTTTTAAAAGTATTAACAGTTTTGAAAACTAGCTTAAAACTTAATATGTTTGGAAGTGTGGGAATTTTCAGTGTTACTAAGTACAGCTATGTTGCTTTTTATTTTTAAGCAGTGTCAGAGTAGGTGTTCTAAAATAATGTGCTTGAGAATATCTGGTCTACTATTCCTTTTCTTTGTAGTATGTAAGAATACTTATATCAGTTATTAGTATATTGTTGACAACTTCTAAATTGGTTTATGAATTTTTATCATTGGTGTTAGTTTTAAGAAGCTTTTAAAATGTGAAGTACAGGAGAAATATGAAGCAGTGTGACCTGTTAGCACACAGCATTCCAAGAAAATTCAGGAAATAATCTTATATTTTCTTTAATAATTAGATAAATATTTTTTAGTCTTGATGTAGCAATTATATTATGATCCCAGGCCCTTAAAATAATTTTTCATTATTTAGAAAAAAAGTAATAAACTACCACTAATAGTACTAATTCTATCTAATATTAGAATTTAGGGAATGGAGAAACTAGTGAGGGTTTTTAAAAATAGATATTAGATAATAACTGACCTAAAATAGTAAAGTGATAAGAGAAGTTGAAGTGAATAATGAATACTAGTATGTGGGATAGGCTGACAAGGCATAAGAGAGGAAGAATGAAGCTGAGAGTAAAGATGACCCTCAAGGTTTTTAGCCCAGCTTATGGTACTTGTGTAATAGATTGTGAATTTGTTTGAAGTAAAAGGATTGAGTTTGGTTGTATAGACTTGTGTTTGATAGCAAGATATGCTATGTTGTCTTTCAAAAATGTACACATTTATCTTAGGATATTTTTATTTTGTTTCTCAGTTTTCTTTTATTGTTTGTATTAGTAAATGGTCCTGCCATCTACTTGAGTGCTTTCTTTAAAAATCTGGTCATTATCCATGGTTTGGTACTTTCCTTTACCTTCCCATATCTAATCGGACACTGTCTTGTCACATTAAGAACTCATACCCTGGAGGTATCCTGTTGGAGCTCAGATATTGTTCTATCTCTTACAAGATGCAATTTCTGCTGGGACTGACTGTCAGACACTGAACAACAGATGATTATAGACACATGTTTCTGTGAAAGAGAGGCCAAGGGGCTAGTTGGCATAAGGAGCCAAAAAGCCCTGATTGCCTGCCTCCTTAGGCTTTTATTGTCACAACAGCTTGAACAAAAATTAACTATTAGATACTATCAGCAGGGTAAGCATCCTTGAGAAAGCATATGTACCCTTTAAGCAAGGACATTTTGAAGTCTAAGCATAAATATTGTAGCAAAACACCCGGGGCCCAGACTTGTTTGGAAAAGTTAAGGCAGGGTCTGCCACCTTGGCAAGGTCCCCCAGAAGCCTCTGACCTTTCAAAGAATCCTCCTTACACACTTTTCAGCCAAGTCCCATGCTTCCCCACAATTTCAGAAGTTATTTAGCTTTTGTAGGCCTCAGGTACCACATCTTTAAAATGGGGTAATAATTATATGTGTTTTATTTAGAGTTGTGAGAATTAGACTAGTACAGGTAATGAACTTAGTATGTGGCATGTGATAAACTCTTGATAATATGAACTGTTATCATTATCAATATTATTAAGCAGTTTAGCTTTGGAGTAAAACACATATAAAACAGAAAAGTTCCAAACGTTATCGTTGCAATTTTGGTAAGTCTTGACTCACTAAATTACCTTACTTGTAAAATGAATAGAATTTGAATAATTCAGATATATTAAGCAATTTAATTATTTCAGGTAATATTGCAAAGCCTGAAATAGTTGTGAGAGTTAAATTGTTCTTCCCTGACATAGGAAACATGTATTAATGTTAATTATTATCTTTTTTTTTTTTTTTTAATATGTCTTTACTGATTTCAGGGAGAGGAAGGGACAGGGAGAGAGAGAGAGAGAGAGAGAGAGAGAGAGAGAGAGAGAGAGAGAGAGAGAGATCAGTGATGGGAGAGAATCATTGATCAGCTGTCTCCTGCATGACCCCTGCTGGGGATAGAGCCTGAAACTTGGGCATGTACCCTGACCAGAAATCAAACTATGACCTCCTGTTTCATGGATTGACCTTCAACCACTGGATCACACCAGCTGGACTGTTAATTATTATCTTTAATAAATTGGTTTTGTTTCCTTTATTTGTTAGTTTTTATCATTAATAATATTATATCTGCTATTTCCATCTAGTTAAGCTTTTGGTAATTTGAATTTCTCTTTTAAACAGTGTATTGAAAATGTTTCCCGGCAGAATTGTCCAATATGTTTAGAGGTAAGCTTACAATATTTTTTGCTTTGGAAATATCCCCTCTTGATTTTAAAATACTTGGCTGTTTATATTGTCTTCATGTAAGCAGTAACATTTATTTCTTTTCACAGGACATTCACACATCTCGTGTTGTTGCCCATGTTTTGCCATGTGGACATCTTTTACATAGGTAAAGTAAATTTTTTTCTCAAAAGATGTTTGGAAATAGCTTTTGTTTTACTAAAATAATGTATTGTGTTTTTTTTGTTTTTTCCCCCAGAACATGTTATGAAGAAATGTTGAAAGAGTGAGTGTTTGACATTTAAAATGTTACAATTGTAAGATGTCTGGATTTTTTGTTTTCTTCTTTTTCATTGCTATTAGTATATTGGGCATGACATATTTATCTTCAGATGGGTAAGGTAAGTGACTAGTGTTAAACTGGGAAAGCATCTTTGGGGGTGTAGGACTGTATCTTGGTCCCCATGCAAGATGCCTTATCTCATCCTACAAATGGAGACAGTTACCTCTGATTTTCTGGATACACTCACCAGGGAGCACCGTCTCTGACAGAGGCAGTCATAGCTTTGTGAAAGTGCTAAGGCATGTTGCTCAAAATTCTGTTAAGTCATTATGTTGTCCCAGTATAATGAGCTGCAAAGAAAGCTGGTAGCAAGATTATCTAAAGCTGAGACTTTATTGTGGGGGAAAGGTGTGAAATTGAGATAATAATTAGGAAAGAGGTGACTGTGTAAAATGTATTTTGTTTCTGCAAATTGATGAGCAGAAGTTTTAATTTATAATAGCCAGATAGAAGGAAACTTTTTCAGAATTTTTAGGAAATAATATCTGAATAAGTTTTAAGGAATATAGTGTCTTCTTTACTTAAATATATTCAGAAATTGAGGTTGTTTAACTAAAAAGCAGCTTAAATTGGTTTTAAAAATATATTAAGTATATTCTACAAATACTAGGGACTAATTCCTATCCATTTTAGAGAGCTGAGAAGAAAGAAGTAGGTTTAAAGAATGCCATATGTTTCAAGATTTAATTGAAAACTTTCATAGTATAAAAGTTCCCAGGTTTGTAACAGATTGTCTTGAAATATAGATTAATGCCCTGTCTTGGATGGTTTATGTATCAGTTAGCATGTATCTTCTATACTTGAGTTGATATGCTTCTAGTTTAATATTTGGAAAATAACTTTTCTGTCTTTTCTAGAGGCTACAGATGTCCATTATGTATGCACTCTGCTTTAGATATGACGAGGTACTGGAGACAGCTGGATGATGAGGTAGCACAGACTCCTATGCCATCTGAATATCAGAACATGACTGTAGATGTGAGTAGAATCAGTGCTGAAAACTTTCCAAATTTTTTGTTGATGTTCCTGTTTATTTTTGTCCTTTTGATCACATCTTTCTCAAAAATACTGCTTTGGTATAGATGCCCATAGGATGATCTAATAGGAAGAACAGACAAAGCAATCTTTAAATTTTAGTTACTTTGAACTTAAAAGACCAGGAAAAAAAAGTCCTAAGAATACCTTTGTGCAATTCTTCCCAACACTAGGTGGCAGGCACAAACTTTGTTCTGAACTGTTTACACATACTTGCCAGAATCAGTAATGTACCTGAGTAGAGGTGAATTACTGGTTTGATGTTTTATTTTCAATTGATTTCAAGCAAACATGTTTGCTGATTTTTGAGGATCACTTTTTTTGTTTATTACCTGTTTATTCTATCTTACTTAGACTTTTAAAATTTGATCTTATTAGCCTGTAACCTAAAATATAAGAAGTATTTCTATGCCGTTTGCCTTATAGAGAATGATCATCTTTTCTCCATTAATTGAGGTGTGGTTCTGTCTATTCTCAGCATAGTATATTGAATTACAGGTCAGAATTAGAATTCTAAATAGCTTTCCGGTGCTTTAATAATTTTTGGACATTTAAATTTTCTAAACATCATTAGTTTAGTTTAGGTACTTCTACACAAAAGGATCAGAACCACTTATGAAAGCCAAATGAAAATTATTTTTTGTTTTATTCACACGAGCATTTTATAATTCATGTGGATAATTGAATTGTTAGTAAAGTCAGTGGTCACTTTTGGAATACTAAACTGATAATCACATGATGCTTTACTATAGGCTGCAGTGTGTGATATTCCATGTGAACGATTTTTTAAAATAACAGCTTTAATAAGATATAATTCACATACCATACAACTCATCCATTTAAAGTATACAATTCAGTGCTTTTTATTATATTCTTGGGGTTGTATAGACATCATCACCATCAATTTTAGGATATTTTCATCACTCCAAAAAGAAACCTGGTACCCATTAGCAGTCATTCTCAATTCACTAGCTCTAGGCAACTACTAATCTATTCTCTACATTTAGATCATAAGAGAATTATTTTCCAAATTATAATTTAGAGTAAATTTTTAAGTCTTCTTATTATGGTGTGACTTTTTTAAAACTAATGCTTTTTTCACATAGTATTGATCAATTTTCAGGGTGACATCTTTTTTATTTTTCAAGGTCTTAGTACTAGAAAAGATTAATTCCTAAATGGCATCTTATTGACATTTTAGGGATGAGCCAAAAGCTTCTCTTTGTTCAATTTTAGAACTACTTTTGAACTTTAATTCATTCCTGAGGCATTGAAGACTAGGAATTTAGTCGAGTAAACATAAAGTAAAGGAAGTGGAGGGTCTGTTGTCCAGGAAGACCGGGTGCTCTAGAAGTCCCTTAAACATAAATAGTCAATCTCCCAAGTTTCCCCAATTAAAACTCACCCCACTAGCACTTCCAAATACTTGTTTCCCCTAACTCCTTAAAATCCTCTGATTATAAGCCATCAAGGAGTTTGGGCTTTTGAGCAATAGCTTTCCCATTCTTCTTGTTTAGTATTAGCAGTAAAGTGATTCTAATTTCTCCACTGCCAAAACAAAAAAACCTAAAGAATAAGCAAAAATGTCATGATAAGTATGTAACAATTTGTTTTATTAAATAACAATTTTCTAAGTGTTAATGAAAATAATGAAATCATGTATGTTATTTTGAATTGTAAGTACAGGTGGTCCTGGACTTGTGGTGGTTTGATTTATGGTTTTCCAACTTTATGGTGGTGCAAAAGCAATACACATTCAGTAGAAACTGCCCAGGCTAAGCTATGATGTCCAGTAGTTGTATTTCAATTTACAGTATTAACTTATAATGGGTTTATCAGAATGTAACCCCATTATAAGTCGAGGAGTACCTGTATAGGTGTCGATCTGATAGTGCCTATGTTACTTTTCATGCTAGTACTATTTATACCACTCGGGAGCTATTTTAAAATAGACTTCTTGGCGCAAATCCACATTTTCATTTTCTGAATTCAAAGTAGCCTCTTAAAGTTTTCAGTGAACAAAAAATAGGGCATTTCTACTTATGAAAATGTTTAGATGTTTTTACATCTTCACTATGATTTCTGAGGAAATGTTTTGAGCAATGTCACTTTATATCTCTAAGGTTTAATATTCTTAATTTGAATTTATCTCTTCACTTTTTAGATTCTCTGCAATGATTGCAATGGAAGATCTACAGTCCAGTTCCATATATTAGGCATGAAGTGTAACATTTGTGAATCCTACAATACTGCTCAGGCTGGAGGCTGTAGAATTACACTAGATCAGCAGTGACCAGCATATACTGCACTGGAAAACTCAGCATTTTCTGATAGAACAAAGCTATCTTTAGTATCCTATTGTCATAATGTGTCAGAATCTATGCATTAGAGTTGATGTGTCACAGCATAAAGTCATATTACAAATACTTAAGGATTCAGGGTCTCTTTATAGAATTACCATATCTCTATATTTAATGAACACCACTGCACCTGTGTTTTGATTGAAAATTCCTTTAGTGTCAGTTGTTTGGAAGCCAATGATGTTTGCCACTAAAACTTACATCCATAGAAAGATGTTATACATTCATGGAACTTTGCTTTAAATGGCATTCTGCATGCAGAATTCATTTCTAGTTTGACAGAACTGTAATTAATTCTAAGTATTATTCTTGACTTTTTAAGGGCTGTACTATAATAAGAATATGTTCTATCTTACTGTTAAAATCTAATTCCATATGCTTTAGAAATTTCTAAGACAGTCCTTTGGATCTTGTAAATGTGAATTTTGACATAATAACTGCTAATAAAATTATATTGAAACAGTGTTTTATAGAAAATTTTTCCCCAAGACTGTTTTTGGTTTAATTAGGGCAATATAATCTTATACTGTAATATTTCTTAAAAGAAACATTCTTTTGTTTTGAGGTATTCTTCCATAAGAATAGTTGGGAAAAATGTAAAAGAATAGAATTCTTCTAAGTCTTAAGAAAACCATCAACATTGACAATAATTTTGTTTTGGTTATCCAAAATAATTCCTTCAAAGAATAATTCATTCAGTAAGTATTTAGTGAGCAACTACTTTGTGCTGGGTATGGGTCTAGATCAGTGGTTCTCAACCTTCTGGCTCTTTAAATACAGTTACTCATGTTGTGACCCAACCATAACATTATTTTCGTTGCTACTTCATAACTGTAATGTTGCTACTGTTATGAATCATAATGTAAATATCTGATATGCTGGATGGTCTTAGGCGACCCCTGTGAAAGTGTCGTTTGACCGCCAAAGGGGTCGCGACCCACAGGTTGAGAACTGCTGGTCTAGATGCTGCAAAGACAACAAAAAACTACATAGACAAAAATCCCTTATGGTGGTATATTCTAGTGTTCCTCATACTTGCTAGGCTTCTAACTTGTGTTTTTTTTGTTTGTTTGTTTTTTTATGCATACAGTGGTTGTCTTTGTTGTAAGTGGGTGGATTTTTCCCTAAATGCTTAAAGTAGATGGGTAGAAAGGGTACATAATATTCCTGGCAAGATCTCTGATTTTTTAATAGTTTTTTGGACTCATGTAGTAGAATTAAATATACTACTTAATTCAGGAACAATGCACAACAATACTTTAGCAGTAGTATCCCAACATCCAACTTAGTCTTTTTATAAAAAGCTTTAGTTTAGGAAGTAAAGTGTGTACTTATCAGTCAACTCCCATTACATTTCTAACTTTGAGCTAGTTGAATCTTCTGTGAGTAAGGAAGATAGTGTTACAACTAGAGATCCTAACATTTCTGGTACATTAATTTTTTCCTTTGTTCCTTTGTTGAAATTTCTTTACCTGGATAAAGGCAGCAGTATTGATTTCCAGTTTGGGGCCTAGATCTTCTCTATTCTATCTTGCCTTCCTGTCTTACGTGTTCTACTCTTGCGATCTCTCCCTTCACCTATTTCTTTGGCCTGGGCAGGGGCGTACTGCCAATCTTGATTTGGTGAAGTAATGAGATATCTTGTTCGGTGTTACTACTCGGAATACAGATAAGGAAAGACTAGTTTTCTAGTTGTAATACTTTTTGTTTCTGTTATCCTGCTAAACTAGTTAAGTTATATGATTGCTTTTAATCATAATCACTGGATCTTTGAGTAGGAGTGACTATATAAAAGTGTTTTGAGAACCTATGCGCCAGGCTTATGCATTAGTGTTAATCATTACCATAATCCTGTAGCATAGGTGTCTTCATTTTATTGATGAGAAAGCTGATGTTCAGAGGTTATATGACATGCTCAAGTAAATGACAGGTACTAAATGTTGGAGCTGGGAATCAGGTCCAGGCGTGTGACCCCAAACCCACTGTACCACACTGCCTTTGACTCAAACTTCTATTTTGCCAAAGTACTCCTAATAGTTAAGTCATCTATTATGGAGGATCTCATGATTTGTTAGACCTTCCAGTTTTAGATGTCTTATTTTAATTGATAATCAGATTACTTAAATCTTCAACTCAGGATCCAAATTTGTCCAAAATAAGCAGAATTAGCATGTAATTGCTTGTTTATGATAGCCAGTTGTGTGCTTGAAGCAGTTTTCAAATGCCCTTGAAGTCAAGGCTTCAAAGATTTGATCATGACATGTCAATTCATTTCTCATTTACAATCATAAGTACCTCAGCATTCAGTATGTAATAAAATGGAAAGTCTTAATTTTGGGGGGCTTTTCCTGATTCAAAAATATTTTTATTGTGGGAAATATGTAAGAAGAAAATAGCCCTGGCTGGATTGCTCAGTTGATTGGAGCATTGTCTCCTACACCAAAGGGTTGCAGGGTTTGATTCCTGGTCAGGGCACATACCTAGGTTGCAAGTTCAATCCCCAGTCTGGTTGTGTACGGGAGGCAACCACATCAATGTCTGTCTCTCCTTCCCGCCCTCCTTCCTTCTCTAAAATCAATAAAAAACATACTTGGGTGAGGATTAAAAAAAAAATAAGGCAAGTCTCATCTTCCAGAGATAACTACTGTTACTATTATAACAGATAACTTCATTCTTAAAAAGCTTACAGGAATGTAGGCCTAGTGTGGTCTTAGGAATTGTCCCTAATTTGTATCTCAGTGTACTTATTTTAAAAACTAGTAACTCAGTATGTTTATGAATTTCTTGGTGCATAGAAGCTTAGACTTGTTATAATTTTGGTCAAAATAAAGTACAAGTTCCCAACTGTGTATTAAGCCCAGATTCCTTGCTTTGAAACCTTTACAATATCTGTTCCAATTTTTTTTCAGTTTTATTTTTCATTTACATATACTTCTTAAACACATCTCCTCTGAATTTTTGCTCCTTGCCTTTGCACACATGGGTTCCTCATGGAACAGTCATTCTTAGAAAAATGTAGTTGTCAAAGACCTGCCTCTTCTTCACAATCCATCTCAAGGTTTACCTTCTCCATGAATGCTAATTAATATCCAAAATTTGTAACCTCTCCCTCTGTACACTATAGCACTGTACCAATTTTAAAGCTTAGTATTTCCTTTATTATGGCTCAGTTTTTGCCTTTCCCCTTCTCATTTCAACATTGCTTATGAAGCACTGTATATAAAATTTACTGTGGACAAAGCAGGGATGGGGTTGGTGGTACAACTAAAACTGAAAGCCCTGTAGCAGTTGACGTGTGGAAGACAAACACAGGAGGTAATTGGTGGGAGCTAAGGTAGAGGTAAGAAGATGGGCTGTGGAAGCACCCTCACCCAGGGTGGCTGGGGGTGAGAGAAAGGGCCTATGATGTTTTGAGGACAGTGATAGGGCTTTTCACCTCAAAATGCCTTGTTCCTAAGAATTTGCTGAATTTCTAATGGGATTCAAAAAACGTCTTGTTCCCAAGTTTTCACTGTATTTAAGAATGTGATAGAAGCATATGTACATTGGTGGGTAAAAATTCCATGAATAGATCCCCCCACCCCGAAGTGTTTAGTACTAGAATGTATTGGTTGAAATGTGATGGTATCAAGAACCTTTCTTAAACTAGAAGACAGGAATCAAGTCGTGCTGGAATCTGGTTGATAGGTTCATCTATTCATTTATCCCATTTAACTAATTGTATTTTGCACTAGTTGTGCCAGGTTATAAAAAAATGAGGAGTAAATGACCTCAAGTTACCCTGGCCCAGGAGAGGTGGATGTGTGACAGTGCTACAGGAGTGTTTTTCCTGATTTCTAGTGTCAAGTGGCTCAATAAGTGAGGAGCCCTTAGAACAACTTCCGGACAACGTTTTGGCTTGGTTCTGCCACTTGGGGACCACAAATGTGTGGTCTTTGGGAGGTGTGTGAGCCTGTGACTTACGTGTTCTCTATTTTAGAATTAGTAGTTAATTCTAAATTAACTACTAATTTAGAATAGTCACCTATGGGTGTCAACAGGCGTGCTCTGTGACCCCTGGTGTAATGCCTGACAGTTCATTAGGGATTGCCCTTGTCTAAATGTTGCTTAGGCCTGCCAGGCATCTGCTCTGGTAAACCTCTGATCAGGATCCGAGCATCAGGCTGGTTGCACTTGTTTTCTCCCAGGGTCAAAACTTCCCTTAATCACACACCTGCTTCCAACTATTGTCCTGTTTTCACTCCTCTTGCATAATGTATTTTTCCATGTATAAGGCGCTATTTTTTTTCTCTAAAATCGTTAGACTAAAATCGAGGGGCGTCTTATACACAGAAGTCAGCTGAGGAGGGAGCCAGCAGGTGCATAGCTGCCCATACCTTGTCAAACAGGCTTCCTCCAATCATGAGCCTTATTGTTAGTGACGTCAGCTGATGCCATAATTGGAGGTGGAGTTGAAGGTGGAGAGTGCAGATGCAACAGGGACCGGAGAGTTCTGAGCCCATAAAGATGTCAAAAAATAAAAAGATAAATACCGGTAAGTGATTGTCTTACTCTGCAAAATTCAAACTGAATGTAATCAGCTATGCAAAAGAGTATGGATATAGAGTTGCAGAGAGACAATTTGGACCTCCTCCCACTGGGTGTATGATCAATCCGACAGTGGAGAAAACAGGAAGAACAACTCTTTAAGATGCCAAAAAAGAAGGCCTTAAGAGGAAAACCAGCAAAATGTTTAAAATATTGATTTAATTTGGGTTGGAAAAGTAGGGGGCGTCTTATACCTGGGGTTGTCTTATTCATGGAAAAATACGGTATTCTATTTTTCTTAGAGTCAGAATTCAGAATGAGCTAAGTATGGTAAACAGGCCTTTAGCCTGTCTAGAGGTTGCCACAATTCCAACCATTGCCAATAGAGTGGGCTTAGGTGGGGCTTGGCCATTGGCTCCTCATCCTCTTGGGTGGGGACTCTGAGGAGCTGAGTTTGGAGAACTTTGAGAAAACAGTTCTGTGTCTTCTAGAGCAGCAGTCGCCAACCAGTGGTCCGTGAGGTCTGAAAGGTTGGCGACCACTATCTAGAGCCTGTTCACAACATCAGAAGATCTCTTGGCAACCCATCCCTGATTGCCCCAGACTGTTGTCCATCCACTTACTCCCACCTCCCACGTGACATCACAACATTTGCTTGAAGTCTCTAATTGGGATTTTCTCCTTTGCTAGATTATTTGCACTTTAAGTTAATCTCCCTTGTTGAATTCCAATTTCCTTTAGAACAGTGGTTCTCAACCATGGCTGCACATTAGAATCACCTGGGAATCTTTTTAAAATCCTGATTTCTGGGCCTTATCATCCGGAAATTCTTTGTTATGGGCTGAGGCCACAACATTAGTAACAAAGAAACAGAATTTCCGGAGGATGAGGCCCAGAAATCAGGATTTTAAAAAGATTCCCAGGTGATTCTAATGTGC